GTCATATAGACTGAGGATCACATGGTGTACCAGTCTCTTGGACTAATTTTTTCCATGCGTCTTTGGTTTCCTTCATTCTTCTTTGCTCTGGATGAGGAGAGACCCATTATAGATGGCTGCTTGCACGCTTTTAAGATCAAGACTGGTCTTTTTTATGAGTTTTTCCCACACTCCATCGAGGTCCTCCTATTGTGATCTCCTTCAGAGTGATCAGCAGTGCCAGGCCGGCACCATCTAGTTCTTCTCATCTCATGGTGGTGAAGGCTGGGGTTCACATGCTCCATTAGTCCTTTAGATTGGCTCCGTGTGTCCTTGATTTTCTTCACTCTTCATGCTCTAGACGGGGAGAGTTGCACCTTAGATGCATTTTTATCAAGAGTGGGTGTTGGATTTTGTCAAATGCCTTTTCTGCATCAATTGATATGATCATTTGGTTCTCTTGCTTTATTTATATAGTTGATTATGTTGTTCGTTTTTCTAATGTTGAACCATCCTTGAATACCTGATATGAATCCCACTTGGTCATGATGTATTATTTTTTTAATACATTGTTGGATTCTACTGGCTCGATTTTGCTGAGAATTTTTTGATGTACGTTCATGAGGGATATTTGTCTGAAATATTCTTTTTTAGTGGTGTTTTCACCTGGTTTAGGGATGAAGGTTATGTTTGCTTCATAGAGTGAGCTTGTATGTTATGGAATAGTTTGAGTACAACTGACGTCAGCTCTTCTCTAGGTGTTTTGTAGAATTCACCAGGGAAGTCGTCTGGGCCAGGACTTCTTTTTGTTAGACATTTTTTAATGATCTGTTCAATTTCTTATTTTGTGAATGGTCTGTTCAAATATTCTACCTCAGATTGTGTTAGTCTGAGTAGGTAATATGTTTCTAGAAATTTGTCCATTTTTTCCTAGGTTTGCAAATTTGTTAGAGTACAGTTCATCATCATTGTTGTTGTTATGTGCCATCGAGTCAGACCCAACTCATAGCGACCCCTCCTTGGGTTTCCAAGGCGGTATCATAGTATTCTGTTATCCTTTTTATTTCGGTTGGTTCTGTTGTGACATCACGTACTTAATTTCTTATTTGTTATTTTCAGGTTCTCCTTCTTTTCCTTTGTTAAATTTTAAAT